AGGATATTAAATGCTAAAGACAATGGAAGGCAAGGCTTGAGATGCAACCATTTGACTACACAGTGAGAAGGTCACCTGCAACCCAACAGTGAGGATGAATGGAATAACTGAGTAGAGTAAGAATGAACTACACTGGGTGGTAAAGGCAAGACAGAGTAAGAGAGAAGGTTCAGCAGGTAAGGGCGCTTGCTGCAAAGCCGAGTTCCGTTGCTGGAACCCAGAGAGTAGAAGAGAAGTGACTCCTGCAAGTTGTCCTCAAGCCTCTACATGTGGACTGCAGCACATGGGCTCACAAACACGCACCATAGATAAATAAATGTCAAACACTTTTTTAAAAAAATGAAAGATAATAAGTATGGCCTGTTCAGAAGTTTGGTGTAGGGGATTAAAAGAAGTCTGTAGTTAAAGGGCTTCCACAGTGACACAGGTTTTTAGATTTGATGAGATGGGGACATGCTGGCCTGTTTGTGAAAATGGATGTCACAGGAAGTTCTGGTTAACATTTAAGTGAACTAAGTATAGTAGTTTAAATAATACTATATTAGTGAAAGAATTGGTAGAGGACAGAGTTTATTATTTTAAAAAGAATATCCAAGAACTTCTACATTGGCAGTTCATACTAACCTTGAAAAGGTATCAGAGGGGATAACAATCAAATTCAAATCCTAACAAAGCATGGTGGTGCATGACTTTAACCCCAGTATTTAGGAAGCAGAGGCAGGAAGAGCTCTTGGAGTTTGAGGTCAGCCTGGTCTATATAGGTCTACACCAGTTGTTCTCAACCTATGGGTCACGACCCCTTTTGGGGTTGAAAGACCCTTCCACAGGAGTTGACTAAGACCATCTGTATATCAGATATTTACATTGTGATTCACAACAGTAGCAAAATTACAGTTATGAAGTAGCAATGGAAATAATTTTATGGTTGGTGGTCACCACAACATGAGGAACTATATTAAAGGGTCACAGCTTTAGGAAGGTTGAGAACAACTGGTCTACATACATACCTGGGAGGTGAAGGGGGAGGATTAGGAGTTCAAGGTCATTCCCAGCTATATAGTCTGAAGTTAGCCTGGTTTACATAAGACTCTGTCTCAAAAAAGCAAAATAAATTTAAATAAAAAAAAAACCAGACCACAGAGTAAAATCCTTAAAATGTTTGCCCAAGTATGAAATGTGCAAGTTTTTGGAGAGCAAACTGTTCCCAAATTTCTGATTGTCACATTTCCTTGAGTGAGATGACGGTGCTGGGGGAGAAACCGATGATTTTAGTTCCAAAATTAGCTTCAGAGTCTTCTTCCCAGGAGTCCTCTGAAATACACTTAACTTCCGGTTCAGTTGGCCTGGTCTTTTTGTTTTGTTTTAGAATTTTGCTCTTGTTTTAAGACAGAGTCTCACTAGGGTGGGTCTCAAATTTATAATCTGCTTCAAGCTCCCAAGTGCCAGGATGATAGGCATGTGCTACCGTGCCCAGCTTTTGTATGGTTTTAGAAATTGTACATATGCAATAGAGAAATAACTCTACAGTTTAAGAGCACTGGCTGCTCTTCTAGAGGACCTAGGTCCAATTCCCACCACCCACAAGGTGGCTCACAACTGTAACTCTTGTACCACGGGAACTAATGCCCTCTCCTGGCCTCCACAGGCACCACTCACCCAATGCACAGCTGTACACTCAGGCAAAACACGTACACACATGGGGGAAAAGGAAAAATAAATTGCACACAAACACACACACACACACACACAAATTGGTTCTAGTTAGCTATTTGATCTTCACATAATTTGTTTGGATTCTTTAAAATTGGGCCTTTGTAAAAGAATAAATGAGAAAATTCAAACATTACTAAACCAAGACTCAAAACAGTGAGAATGTCCAGTGGGGCAGCCCGAACAAGTTGAACCAACCAGAGGAAAATGGATGAGGGCGCAGGAGTTGGTTCAAACACATTTCCTAACCATGGCCACTAGGTGGTACAAATATTTAGCAGACCTTAAATGAACGACCTGGACTCTCAGAAGTTTTAAAGAATCTGAACTCCCTGCCCCTAAAAAAAGCAGACTGTGTGTGTGTGGGCGCGAGTGTGTGTGTGTGTGTGTGTGTGTGTGTGTTATCTGAAACCAGAGTGATATAGATATATGTTTTTTGCTTTATGGTTTATTCAGCATGAATGTTTTGAATTTTGCATAGTTTCCAGACATTTCAGCCCACATCAGCAGCATTCTCTATCTGGCTGATGGTGATGTCATGAGTCCTCATAATCCTAGAGATAATATGACTCTTGTTTGCTCAGGAAAAAAAAAATCATAAAAGCAAAGCACTGCAAAAAAAAATATCTACCCAGAAACTGGAAGTATGAAAATAACAAAATGGCACAAAAACAGACACACTGACCAATGGAATCAAATTAAAGACCCAGACATAAATCCACATGCCTATGAACACCTAATTTTTGATAAAGAAGCCAGAAATACACACTAGGAAAAAAAAAACCAGCATCTACAACAAATGCTACAGGTCAGACTGGGTGTTTGCATGTAGACAAATCCGACTAGATTCATTACTTGTCACCCTGTACAAAACTCAACTCCAAATGGATCAAACACCTCGACATAAGACTAGATACACTGAACCTGACAGAAGAGAAAGTGGGGAATCGCCTTGAACACGTTGGCACAAAAGATGACTTCCTGAACAGAGCACCAGTAGTGCAGACACTAAGACCAACAATTAATAAACAGGACCTCATGAAACTGAAACGCTTCTGTGCGGCAAAGGACACCATCATTTGGACAAAACAGCAGCCTACAAAATGGGAGAAGATTTTCACCAACTACTCAGCTGATGGGGCTCTCATATCCAAAATACATAAAGAACACAAAAAGCTAGGTATCAAGAAAACAACCCAATTAAAAATGGGCTACAAATCCAAACAGAATTCTCAAGAGGAAACTCAAATGGCTCAGTGTTGTGGGATATTTGATTGCACTGTGACACCCTGAGACTGTGTTGATAAAGTTAACCTTGAATCAGGGGGCACAGCTAGTAACCAGAATTAGCCATAGAGAAGCCAAAAACACGGGTGAAGACACACAGGAAGGAGTAGGGAGGGACTTAGAGATTTCGTGGTCTCTTTGATCTGGGACGTGTAGAGAGAGAGGCGTTTGCTGGGTCTCCAGTTTTAAAAAAAAAAAAAAAAAAAAAAGGAAGGTTAGCTGGTTTCTCCTCCTCCACTTCTTTGATCTATCAGGTTTTCACCCCAATATCTGAGTCTTTATTGGTAACAGAACAATTTAGATAAAAACAACAGTTGAGAAACACTTTAAAGAAATGTTCAGCATCCTTAACCATCAGGGAAATGCAAATCAAAACTACTTTGAGATTTCATCTTACATCCACCAGAATGGCCAAGATCAATAAAACAAGTGACAGCTCATGCTGGTGAGGATGTGGAGTAAGGGGAACACTCATCCATTGCTGGTGGGAGTGCAAACTTGAACAGACACTATGGAAATCAGTGTGGCAGTCCCTCAGGAAGATGGGAATAGATGTATCTCAAGATCCAGCTATACCACTCTTGGGCATATACCCAAAAGGACACTTCATCCTACCACAGAGACACTTATTCATTGCTTCTCTATTCATAATAGTCAAAAACTGGAATCAACCTAGATGTTCCTCAACAGAAGGATGGATTTTAAAAATATGGTACATTTACACAATAGAATATTACCCAGTCATTAAAAAGAAGGAAATCATGAAATTCACAGGTAAATAGATGGATCTAGAAAAAAATCATCCTGAGTGAGGTATCCCAGGCCCAGAAAGACAAATATGGTGTGTACTTGCTTGCTTATATGTGCTGTATTGGGTGGTTTTGTGTGTCAACTTGACACAAGCTAGAGTCATCAGAGGAAGGAGCCTGAGCTGAGGAAATGCCTCCTTGAGATCCAGCTGTAGGGCATTTTCTCATTTAATGAGAAATCGGGGAGGGCACAGCCCATGGTAGGTGGTGCCATACCTGGGCTGCTGGTCCTGGGTTCTATAAAAAGGGGGGCTGAGCAAGCCATAAAAAGCAAGCCAGTAAGCAGTGCCCCTCCCTGTCCTATGCATCAGCTCCTGCCTCCAGGATCCTGCCCTATTTGAGTTCCTGTCCTGACTTCCTTCAGTGATGAACAACAATGTGGAAGTGTAAGCCTAATAAACCCTTTCCTCCCCAACTTGCCTTTTGGTCTGGTGTTTCACTGCAGCAATAGAAACCCTAACTAAGACATGTGCATAAGACAAATATGGTGTGTATTCACTTATATGTGCATATTAGATGTTATGTTAATGATAGCCAAGGTACAACACACAGAACCACAGAGGTCAGGAGTAGAGTAAGGGCCTGGGGGGAGGGGCAGATAGATCTCCTTAGGAAAGGGAAATAGAATCGATAATGGATGGATATGGGGAGCTGGAATGGAAGGATCAAGGGAGGAGGAGGAGGAGGAGGGGAGAGGAGGGAATGCGGGGAAAGACATCTAAAATTAGGGCCATTTGAGTAGTATGGAAACCAAGTATAAAGAAACTTTCTAAGATTTATACATTTATGAATGTAATTTAAATGAAATTGTCAAATAATGGGGAAGACAGAGCCCCAACTACACATCTCTTGTCACCAAATGAAGCTTCCAGTACAAGGATTGGTTTACATCGGAATTGTTGGCCAAAGGGGTCCCACGGGAATCCCCAGACAACCCCGGCTGTTGCCAGGCCTATCGATGGCACCCCACAAACTGACAGAAAGGCTTCATGGCTAAAGACAACATCCACACTGAATGTGGAGAAGTCAAGCTGGCGTCTACCTGGGGCCTCCACCCTATGGGTCAGCTAGCGTCTGTGGTACAGAAAGGCTCTCTGCATGCTACCAAGAGGGGGTGGGGGGAAGAGGAGGAGGAGAACCAAATTTCTAGTCTAACAGTCCAGACACCTTCACTTTGAGGTAATGCATACTTACTTGAATTAGGGGGCCAGGATGCCCGGTATTCACTGCTTGCTTGAGTTCTGAGTGACCTGCCCCGAACCTGGAAAGTCGTAATGATGTCAAGAGTTATTTATTATCAACGCAAGGATTTGCCCAAGAGTTTAAAACAGGAAAGGAAACGAAAGTGACATCCCCTACTACAACATATGAAATGTGACATATTTATCTTAATAGCATGCGCAGCTAACAAAGGCTCTCTAGTTTCCTGTGCACACCCCAGGTGTTCTCTCACCCAGAGTCAGCTCCCCTTGGAGGGAGAAGAGAAGAACAGGCAGCAGGGATCCTGGGGACTCAAGAACCCCTATTCCTCACAGCTACAGAGCTGCTGAGCACCACTTACCACACAGTCCCTCCCTGGACTGTCATACCACGTCCAACAGTCAGCTCCCTGAGACAGAAGCCCCAAGGAAGCTTGACTAGAAACTCAGCGGGGTCTTGTATTATTATTGTTGTTGCTGTTGTCATTTGGCGCTGCCTTCGTATAAAGGAAGGCCCATCAGACCAGGCTGCCCCCAGAGCTTGCCTAGGCAAGAAATCACAGTGTTACCTTCCTTTCCTGTTTCTTCTGTGTCTCCATGACATGCAGACGCTCCATGAGGCTAGAGATCCCCTGCTCCAGGCTGTCGATGGTGTGATGCTGAGGATCGTGGCCACTGAAGCTGTTGCGCAGGCTGCGGAGAGCATCTCGGACGAGCTGGAGGTCACTGGTCTGTGGCTGAAAGGAGAGGGCTGGTGGCCGGGTGCAATGCCCTACTCCTACCCCTTCCCAACCACGGGGCTAAAGAGGACTAAAGGAAAAGTTCCTAGGATAGAACCTTGAGTTCTGTGGAGGAAAATATGCCTCCTCCGATACCTACTGTGTATGTGCCCACTAGTTAACTCTTTTTTTTTTAAAGATTTATTTTATTTATTTTTTTTAAGATTTATTAAGCTGGGTGATTTTGGTGCACGCCTTTAATCCCAGCATTCAAGAGGCAGAGGCAGGTGGATCTCTGAGTTCGAGGCCAGCCTGGTCTACAGACTGAGTTCCAGAGAAACCCTGTCTCGAAAAACATACATATATATGTATGTATGTATTCATTCATCTATTTATTTATTCATTCATTCATTTATTATGTATAGTGTTCTGTCTGCCTGCATGCCTGCAGGCCAGAAGGGGGCGCCAGATCTCATTATAGATGGCTGTGAGCCACCCTGTGGTTCCACCTCTGCAAGAGCAGTCAGTGCTCTTAACCATCTCTCCAGTCTTCATTAACTCTTAATTTTAGGAATTGATTTTTAATTTTGGATACTGGATGCCTTTTTTCTGTATACACTCATCAGGTGCGAGAATCAAAGGCCTGGAGTACGCAAAGCTTGGCCTCTGGTGGCAGCTGGGACTCGGGTCTCACTTCTGCTTGTTCTCTGGTCCCAGGAACCTACCCCTCTGTGGACGACAGATGCGGCACCTCTCCCTGCCACCGGAAGGACAAAGCCATTGCGCTGAGAGCCGTGGCTGTTGTAATCTGTCACCTAGAGCATCAAGAAGAAATGACAGTTGTTAACAGACACCTTTTCCTTTACATTCCGCACTTTCTGATGTAGCATGTAACTACTGACTGGTTTACTGTTTACATCAGAAGTGTTATGTGGAGGCTGCGGATACAGCTCAGGGAGTGAAAGTGTTTGCCACACAAGCCAGACACCCTGAGTTTGATCCCGAGAATCCACGTAAAAAGCTCCATGAAACGATGTACACATGTAAACCTCATACTTCTACAGCGAGGTGGGAGCTGGAGACAGGAGAATCGCCAGAAGCTCATGGGTCAGCTAGCCCAGTGTACACAGCACAAGAGAGACCTTGCTTCAACCATAGCTGAAGATGAGAACTGGTGTGTACACCTGTGCGCGCGCGCGCACGCGCACACACCCACACCCACACCTCAAATGAAAAACTATTCTTAGCGTCGTGAGTGGGATGTGGACTCCCCGTCCCCCTGCTGCTGTATCAAGGCTGCAGTTGACACTCAGTGGGTATTTGGAATGCAGAATGAATGAACTGGACCTTGGCCTGGAAGCCCACAGCCACTCTAGTACTCTTGTTTGAAGTAATCAAGAACGCAAGAGCATGTGCATATTTTTGTTGTTGTCGTTGTCGTTATTGTTTGTGTTTTGTTTTGTTTTTCAAGACAGGGTTTCTCTGTGTAGTCCTGGCTGTCCTGGAACTCCTGGCCTCAAACACACAGAGATCCTCCTGCCTCTGCCTCCCGAGTGCTGGGATTAAAGGCTTCACCGCCTGGCCTAGAACACATGCATCTTAAATCCGACTCTGTGCTAGGTGGATTTAGTAAGACTGTATTCAGTTGCTTACGGAATTTAATACTCTTCATTATAACCAAGAGGGTTCCTGTTATTTTCTATTTCATTTCTAAGTGTTAGATGCTAAATACCACCTCCACCTGTCCCCTCGGTGCTGGAGAGTGACCCTGGAATCTTGAGCACATTAGGCAAGTGCCCCACCACTGAGCTACATACCCAGGCCCTGGAACCTGCACTCAACGCCCTCACTAGACAGAATTCTAACAAACACGAGAAGGAAAACCCAAGTTCTGGGTCACCTCGTCCGCCTCTCTTTTCATGCAGTGAGCCAGAAGGACATCTTTGTGCTCCAGCTCTCGTTCCAGATCCACCTGGAAAACAGAGCAAATCAGGAAAGTGTTTCTTCAGGCCAACGGGCCAGGCAAGCCAGTGGCTGCTGCGTCCTGACCTGCTGGTAACTGGCATCCGAGAGTTTGCGGAGTGCTTCTTCCAACTTGGCCTGCTGCTGCTGAAGGAGGCGGTCCTTCTGCCCGAGCTCTTTCTGCAATGGAGATAAGCTTTCAGAGGTGTGGCAAACACAAGGCCATCAAGTGGTTCACACTCTGTGAGACCTACCCTGTGAAAAAAAGAGCCTCAGGCACACAGGCTTTCTTCACTCTATACCTGGAAGGCTTTCCACACTCTAACAGTTTTATATGGTGCCAGGATTCTTAGAAAGGCAAGAAGGGAGCAAACTGCCTGTACGAGGGAGGGCGGGCCGCTATGGGCCATTCTCTCTACTGAGATAGAGGTGAGCCTGCCACCGACTGTCCCCACGTTCCTGTGCTATGCTCCTTTCCAGAGTTATGCTGTCTATGCTTCAGAGCTAATGGGAAGATTTCCTACCAGAGGGCAAAGACAGAGCTGAATTTGGAAATGCTCTTTGAGCATCAGCTAACACGGGCTATTCACAAAAGGTTGCTGGGAGGGTGTTTCTTACTTTATATTCTCCTAAGAGCCGGTTCCTCTCGTCTAGCTTCCTCTGCAGATCCACCTGCAAAGGGAAGAAAGGATTCAGTGGCATGAAGGTGTCATATGCCAACCCTTAGGGAAACCAGCCACTTGGTAACAAGAATTAACAACAGTTACGGTATACGGCACAGAGAGGGCGGGCTGGGACAAAAACACACACCAGCTCGCCACATCTTTTAAGCAGATCGTGGAAACACAATTTGGCCTTAGTGTTCCCCAAGCTGAGTCAGGGACCATCCAGGGTGCTGCAGGCTTAGGTGCTGTGACCTAGGACCAGAAATGAGTCTTACGGGAATAAAAATAACTATAGACATGGAAGGTAGGCACCCAGGAGCAAAATAAAGAGACTACGAGGGCAGACTGAACAGCGCTTCACGTAGCATCCTAGGTGACTAATGGGCTCTCTGAGGTCACTGGCCACACATTTAACTCACAGTCTGGTTGTGCAGCTCATCCTTGTCCATATTTGCCCTCAGAAGCTCTTGCTTGAGCTGAAGAACAGATGTGTCCTGCTGAGTCAACCTCTGTTGCAAGGCATCCTGGGGGAATAAGGACACCCACTTTGCAGCCTTAATCCATCACCCGGCCAGATAGCACTTCTTACTGAGCTCCTCACTGCATTGAGCATCAGTTCTGTCAAACTAGAGGATGAAAGGAATAACAAGGACCTTGCCACAAGGACCTGGGTAGAGATTTTCCTCTCCTCTTCCAAGACACCATCATCTACAGGGAAATCCCATCCACTGTCCTACTGAGAGAAACCTGGTTTTCCCTCACCTACAGCTCATCCCTGGGATCATGGTGTCCTAGTCAGGCAAGGGCGGTGGGGGGGAGTAGCTTTTGAGATCAGACAGACCTAGATCCACATTAAACATCCATCAAGTCCTACTTGAAGGACACCGACCTTGAACAGTATGATCCTCCTCTCCTGGTTTTCTCGTCTACTTCTTGGGTATATAATACTCCACCTGACTTAGCGCCTTCTCCTCTCTGTCCAGTCCCCATTTCCTAGAGCAGTGGTTCTCAACCTTCCTAGGGCTGCGACCCCTTAATATACTTCCTCATGTTATGGTGACCTCCAACCAGAAAACTGCTTTCATTGCTGTATCATAACCTTAATTTTGCTGCTGTTATGAATCATGATGTAAACATCTGATATTTCTGATGGGCTTAGGCAACTCCTGTGAAAGTGTCATTTGTCCCCAAAGTGGTTACGACCCACAGGTTGAGAACCACTGCTCTAGGTAGTACAGTCTGGCCTTGAATTCATGGTTCTCTTACCTCAACCTCCGAAAATGGTAAGATCACAAGTATGTACCAGGCCCAGTAGGGAACCCCTTTTTAATTATCCAGCGAACAGGTTAATGCATGGCAGAGGGCATCTAAGCTGTCCCTGGCATTTGTAGCCTAGCACATTTCCAAAGTGCACTCCCCAGGATAGATGTTAGAGAATGAGTTAGGGAAAAAGGAGCTTCTGTGGTCAGCTATTCTAAAAGTTTTGGGGGCTATATCTTCAGTTTTCAACGCTTTTATTTTTATTTGCAGAGTATGCACATGTGCGTGTCTGTGTGTCTGTCTGTCAATGGAGGTCAGGTCCTCTATAAGAGCGAGAACTCTCTTAACCTATGAGCAATCTCTCCATCCCCAAGCCAATCTCTTTATGATTTACCTTCCGAGATCCTTCAATGTGATATTATTCACAATGGATCTTCAAGCCTATCAGGAATTTCTCAAACTTATTTAACCAAAAGGCACATTTCTGTTTTGAAATACTTCAAAGCACTGAGGTTACTGAATATGCTTTGGAAAATGTTACTGAGTTATTCTTGGCTAGTTAATGAAAGTTTGTGCAAAACAGGGGCTTTAGATGAATACTCAGATGTTATAATCCCATTTGGGTAAATAACATATATTCAAGGTTATTAGCTCAAGCATTGTATATATAAGCAAAATAGCTCTCCCAAAGTAGCTGGTCTAAAATATCATAAGATTATTAAAGAGATGGCTTAGTTGTTAAGCACACTGGTTGCTCTTCCAAAGGATCTGAGTTCAATTCCCAGCACTATATGGAGGCTCACAACCATCTGTAACTCCAGTTCCAGGGGATCCAACACCCTCTTCTGGGCTCCTCGGTTACCAGGCATGTAAATGGTGCAAACATACATGCAGGCAAAACAGCCATACACATAAATGATAAAAATTAAAAAGAAGAGCATTGCGCAAGTATAAAGAAGACCTAAAATGGTCTTTCCTAAAGTGGAACAATCTCCCAAACACACTGCTAAGTGAAAGAAACACAGGGCCAAGCTGTGTTTGCCATGCACAATCGTTTGGGTTGAAAGGTGGGAGAAAACAATAAATAGACATATTGGATAACTGATAAGTTGTCTCCAGGGGACAAAACTGGTTGAGGTGGCAGTGGGGTGGGGTGGGGTGGGGCAGAGCTGGTGGGAGAACTTTCACGGTCTATCCTTTTGTGTCTTTAAACTGTTTGAATGTTATTAACCATTCCAACATTGCTCCTTTTTCGTTTTTTCCTAAAAAGGGCATCCTTTTGAACTGAGAGAGTGCTTTCACACAGAGAAAATCAAGGTGGCAGAGAGGCACACGGCAGCCCCATGAGTCACAACTCCGAGACACAAGCCTCAGCAAAACAAAGATGTCTTCCTTAGCATGTCTCTACCCACCACAAAGCCCTTTCTAGACTCCTGGCACCAAGTCTGTTAAAGACTCCTAGGAAATCCCAATAGTCCCCGAGCCGAGTACCTGGCTCTCAACACTCACTAATAGATCACTCTACCTCACAGAGGCTTACGGAACATAAAATAAAAAAGAGAAAGAATTGAATGTCTTCCTTTTACCTTTATCCCCTGCAAGTTTCTGGCATCCTGTTTGCATTTCAGTAGCTCTTTCTATAAACCAAATACAGTGAGATCAGATGGTGGCATCTGAGTTGCTTCATAAGCATTACCTCATTCTGTCAGCAAGAAGACAAAACCCAGTTGGCCATTCCATGAAGATTAACCCATCAGCTGAGGTACAAAGCAGATGGAGTCCTGAAAGCAGTAAAGACTGACCCTTGGAAACAAGACTAAGACCCCTCTGTCCTCTGTGGCACCCACTGCTGAGCGGCCCAGGTAGAGAAGAGTCGTGCTGAGAAAGAAGACACTCCATCCAGCCCCAAAGGCTTTCCACCAACAGGAAAACGTGACCACATCATCTAAATGTCCACTAAATACGTGATATGCCTATGTCTGCTGTTGTTGAATAGTTATTTCGATTTCATTTAACTTCAACAAAGGGTTGGCATGCTTCTGATTCTCCAAAGAGCTCTTGTTCTTTGTGGACTGGGGCTATTGTTCTTTGTGGTCCAAACAAAAATGAATTTGGTTTTATAATAGAAAATTGAGTAATGAAATTTCCATATGTATGACTGCAACTAAAAAGAGAGATTTGAGGAAAGCAATGCCTGTTACATGACCTGGGCCCATCTCTAGCTATTATGTCACAGAAATGATTCATAATTAGCATATCTAAAATTGGGTTTTAACCTGCCTCCAACAGATGGGCTCAAAAGTTATCAAAAATGCAGGTCTGTGTGTGTGCATGCATGCACACAAGCATATTTCTGGTGAGATATGCTCAGTCATAATTCTCTACCACTGACCTATATGCCCTAGTTACATACCTAGGACTCAGTTTTCTTGTGTTTTATTTTATTGTGGTATCAGAGTTGAAACAATGCCTTGCATGTACTAGGCAAGCACTCCACCACTGATCTATAGCCCCAACACTGACTCAAAATTAAAACAAGCAGACAACTCCCCAAAAACAACAACAATAACAACAACAACAGTACTGACCTAAAAGAACTCTGGAAAATATTCATAAAAAAAAAGAGCCACACTAATATTACACACCCTCCCCCTCTCTTGAGGTAGGTTCCGACTATGTAGTTCTGGTTGGCCTGGAACTCAGCATGTAGATCAGGCTAGACTCTAATTTATGTACCACCATGCCCACACCAGACTCATCTTTTTCTCTTAAATCAAAAAAAAAAAAAAATAGAGAGAGCCAGGCATGGTGGCGCACACCTTTAATCCCAGCACTCAGGAGGCAGAGGCAGGCAGAGGCAGGTGAGTTCGAGCCCAGCCTGGTCTACAGAGTGAGTTCCAGGACAGGCTCCAAAACTACACGCTACACAGAGAAATCCTGTCTCAAAACACCAAAAGAGAAAAAGAAATACAGAAATATTTCAAACTACAGAAAGGTACCCCCAAAATAACACAGAAAACTACTATATAGCATTAAGATCAGAAAGGTGTCTCCATTGTGACACAGTTTAGATGTGTCTTTCTCTTCCAAGGAAAGACCTAACCCAGGTAAGATTCAACGAGCTTCCTGGCACCGCATCACTTTCCCTTCCCAGAATTGTCCCAAAGCTGGCACGTGATAGTCCCACAATTCTTTTCAAAGGGGGAAAATGTATATGTCCTGTCCTACCTTGAGGTCTTGATTCTCCTCCATACTCTGATCCAGACGGCTCCGGATTATAATCTGAATGTAAGACAAAGATGGCCATGCACTTGCACTGTTAAATTCATAGACCATTCATTCATTCATTCAACAAATACTCATTGAGCACCTACTAGAAACCACTTCCGTACTGTGAACACATGCTCTCTGATATAAGCATACGCCAAAACACGTGACATAAAACAATATGGATGAAGTCTAGGGTAAGTGTGTGTGTACTGGGAGAAGGAGATGGAGTCAGGAAAGAAGAGAGGGAGTTGAAAAGGAAAATGGGAGCCAGACCATGAAGGACCAATGAGGCCAACGGGGGATTAATATAATTTTTTTTTGTTTTTAAAAAGTATTTATTTTTATTCTTTTTAATAATGTGCAGCTGTGTGTGTCTGCCTAGGCATATGTGCATATGAGTACAGTAGCCTGGGAGGCTAGAGGTAAAAAAATCCTCTAGAATTTCAGGGATCCACTTGACATGGGTGCTGGGAGCTAAACTCAGGTTAAGTACTCTTAACCACTGAGCTCTCTCTCTCCAGCCCCATCAGTGAAAAATTTTATACAAAGGAAGACAAAATAAAATTATCCTTAAATTATTCTTGTAATTGTATTGAAAATGAACTAGAAGAGGTTAGAAGACGCTAGATTCAGCAAAGCCTGTTGGGAAGTTGCCAGGATGTTGGCTAAAGGCCCACACTAAGTAGTGGTTGTGAAAATGGAGACACTGGCCATAAGGGGAAGATCAGAAGGAATTCGAGGATGCTATCCAGGTTTCCGTTTGGGGCACACATACAGAAGGACAAACAGACTCTGTGGTTACGTAGAGGATAGATATACTTCGTTGAGGACCCACTGAAACTGAGGTGCATCTAGCATCCACTAATGGAGACTATAAGCAAGCAGCTGTGTGTGCACGCACAACTCTACAACTCTGCAGAGACATCTGAGTTGGAAATCCGTCTGCGAGAAGCACATGGGGAGTGAGTGAAGACCCGGAAGGCAGATAACACTGCCCAGTGACTGTAAGACTGGTCCAAGGTACTGAGACGCATGGGCATCATAACATAGAGAAAAGAAAGGCTTCAGGGGCCGACGGTAAACCGCAGGGGAGTAGGGTCTTAAGTATCTTTGGTCAATATCATATCTCTAGCACCTTGGACCAGTGTCTGACTCAAAGAGTCAACATTTGCTGGACATCTGTTGATTAAATCAATGAAGAAACCAGGAAGGAGTAACCAAATCGTAGACAAACTCCATGAGTCAGGAGAGAGTATTTCAAACAGGTGAGGTCAAGTATGGAAACAAGCCAGGCCTAGTATGGAGCCACAAACATGGAGCTCACCAGCTGTTCCTCGGGATTGACTCCTGGTTCACAGAGGGCCAAGGGTCTTTCCTGTTCATCTTCAGGTAAGGATCCATTGAGTAGTAAGGCCTGGATAAACCACAAAGGGAGGAAGAAATTGAACCCCCTGACACCTGATTCAGTCTAGAGCAAGGTTTGGTAAATTCACCACAAATGGAAATCACCAGATAACCGGTTCCTGAAGGAAGCCAGATGATAACCTCTGGTTATTTCCCATGGTCCTGACTGTGCACAGTTCCTTCTAGAGGTCCTTGTTATAGGTCCCTTCCCCCAATTTTAAACAGTCTCATGTATCCCAGGCTGGCTTTAAACAGCAGAGGATGGCTTTGAACTTCTGATCCTCCTGTCTCTACCTCTCACTTGCTGGGATTTCAAACATGTACCACCATGCCTAGTTTACAACGCGTAAAGATCAGACCTAGAACCCCATGCAAACTACAAAGGCACTGTACCAACTGAGCTACACTCCAAGTCCCTTGGATCATTTTCATATTTCTGGATACACACAGACCCTCTGCTCTGAGAATTATTAACAAACCTTCCCTTCAGAAGTGTCCAAACACATTTCAAACTAGAGTTGTTCAAACACAGCTCTGCCAGCTGAAATCAGTGTGAGATCTAAAATCAGTGTGGAATCATCCTGGCTCAGAGATGTGCATTACAATAAACTGTTTGAAATCCATTGAAAAACATGGCCTTGGGACTATTTGTTCTTTGTTTTTTGTTTTAGTAATTCTGCATTTTCACTCCCTAAGGCAACATGAATAGAAGAAAGAAAAATCTTTACAAAGATGGCCTCCTTCACTTCAACTCCAGGCTGTTTTTCATTAGTGTATTAGTGAGGACAAAGGAGGCAGATACACCCTGAAGCTCTGGAAGCTTAGGCTTTGGGGCCCTAGGACACTGCCTCTCCCCAGAACCCATTCCTAACATGGTATTCATAGTTTGTAATCTCATTCCTTCCCTTTTACATTTTATTTATTTTGAAATTTATTTTTGATTGATTGATTGATTGAGATAGGATCTTACTATGCAGCCCTGGCTGGTCTGGAACTCACTATGAAGCCCAGGCGGGCCTCAAACTCAGAGAGATCTATCTACCTCTGCCTCTGCCTCCATGCAACACCTCGCTCTGACAAAATTTATTTTTATTTTTAATGTCTCTGTGTGGGTTTGTGCACATGAGTTCAGTGTCCATGGAGACCAAAAGAGGGTGTTGGATAGCCTAGATATGGAGTTACAGTTCTTGTCTCACTGGGGTGCTGGAACATGGACTCAAGCCTTCTGTAAAAGCAGAACATGCTCTGAGAACATGCTCTGAACAGCCGAGCTGTCTTTCTGGGGTGCATATTTGTGTGTATGTGTGTGGGTGTGGGTGAGTCATGGGACACGTGGGGAGGTCAGAGGACAGCTTTCAGGCGTCAGCTCTCCCCTTCCACTGTGTGGGTCCCAGGGATCGAACTCAGATCCTCAGACTTGGCAGCCTGTGCCTCTGCCTGCCCAGCCATCTCACCAGCCTAGAATCCTATGCTTAAAGCAGCATCCAGTATACTTTAGGGCCCCCAAATTTAGAGATCTGCCTGCTCGGGTAGGTATTAAAAGATGTATCAGGTGAGTTAAAGATGGAAATTCTGTCCTTATTTGTCACAGTTTTGTTTCAACTCGAAAGACAGAATGAGTTTAAATAAGACATCTTTTAGTAAATATAACACAAATTCATCATACATGATGATGATGTTTTAGAATCCAGCCAACCGTTCCTCTACTAAACACTAATAATAATGTATGAGAAAATCAAATGACCTTGGTTTTCCCATGGAGTCATGGTGAGAGGGATGAGTGGGCAGGCACACAGCCCCAGGGCTGCAGGGAACTGCAGAAGCGGGGACATCAGACATCGGGGACCTCAGACACTGGGGACATCTCGGAAATAGTAACCCCAGGGGCAGATTGTTCAATGGTCTCTAATTATGGCATACTAATAAGTCACAAATCCTGGATGTAACTTGGCATACAACTTGTTCATCACTGAAAGAGTTAAGAAGTCCAGTGGATGCTGGGAGCCCTTTTGTGCTCTTCAGTGAGACAGAATCCTAATTGTCATCACGTGACAGCGAATTAAAACACCTCTCTCTGTTCAAAGGAAATATTAGGATGTTGTTTTTCTGCCTGTCAGCTTTCTTTCTTTTTTATTTTTCTGTTTCATTGGTCATTGAATTTCTCCCAAACTAAGGAATGCAAATCAAACAGAGTCAAACTGATAGCTACCCATGCTTTGTTCACATAACACAAATTGTCCCTGGGGTAGGGTGGGGGGGTAACCTGGTTAGGTAAAACCCCCCAAATGCATAGAACACTTCCTATTAAAACAACAACAACAAACCATTAAGATATTCCTTACTGAGTGGCAGAAAGGAATTCAACAGGTTTTTTAAAAAATTATTTTAATACAGACCAAGAAGCAGACACCACCAATTTCTTGGGGAACGTTTAGGAGGATGTAAACATCCCTCGAATCGGTGTAGGTTCCTAGGGCACACATTATGCAAATTGTTTTACCAAAGCACCAATCTCCTTTCTTCTTTAGGAACCTTTTGTGTCCCCACCCTGTTGCGGGCTGGCTGGGAGCACGCCCTCCACCGCCTGCCAGAGCCTCACACATAATGTGGGCTTTGTTTATGTGTCCATAAATATTTCACAATTCAAAACTGGTGCGGTTCCCAGCACCAACAGAATGGAATATTCCTAGGCAGTTTCAGGGTCATCAGCACACTACGAGGGCTCCTCCAAACAGAGGATCGAGGGGGTCACGGGGTGGGCTCTATGTCAAGTGGGTCGTCAGTCTCTGGGGGAGATTCCCCCAGGTGATAGCGCAGGTATAGGAACAACTGAAGGACTTCGTTGTTCAAGGAAAACCTCTGCTAGCAGACCGCTTGCCTGGGCAGCAGTTGCTGATGTGTTAGGAGGGAGCCAAGTCCCTCCGCTAGACTCAAATGGAAACCTGCTGGTATTCGTGCCTCTTGAAATTTCTGCTGCTGAATTCCTGAGAGGCAGGCTTTGCTGTAAGCTGCAGTTGCAGGTCTGTAAGAGTAGAGAAGACACCTACCTACAAAACAGGGGTCAGTCAGAGCTCCCGAGCTTGCACAAATCCTAACAGCTGGACTGTAAACAAGAGTTCCAAAGTCCACTTAAAACATTCACAAATAAGGAATTTTTCGCTCTCTGTGTACTACTCACACACAATTAAAATCAGGTGTTGTTTGTGTTTTTTTTCTTTGCCGATTGATACTACCGACTTGAAAGGAATAATTAGCTAGGGCACCAAGAACAAACTTCAAGGAAGGAGTTACCTGCAGTCCTGAAATCATTTTCTTCGCTTCCTCCATTTCTTTTTCTAAATGCTCTTGTTGCTCCAGTAACTGCTCTTCCCACGTGGCTTCCAGGTACGTTCCCGGGCTCCCAGGCCTCCAGTCTCGGGATAATGGAGAGCCTGTCTCGTCTGCGAAATGAAAGGTGGGAGAACAGTCCATGTTGAAGAGAAGCGATTTCCGGCAGACGGGGCTCAGAGTACTTCACAGGTTCAGGTCACCTGCCTTCTGAACCTGTCTGCACAGACAAACAGGACTGTCCACTAGGTGGGGTTGTGAGACACAAAGAACTGGCTGTTAACTGGGGTACCAGGCTCGGGAAAGCACAAGCTCTGTTCGGAGAGTCCACCCTCCTAAGCCTTACCCTGGGGAGCAGCAGGGCACCTGCCCCTGCACACTTGTTATGGCACACAAAGATCGTACTCCCAACTCCTTGGAACTGACATTCCCAGAGTCTGATTTATAAGTAAAGGAACTGTCAGCCACAGATGAAAGTAAAATCCCTTTTCGGTGACTCTGGAACTTTGGACAGGAGACTGGGTCAACCAACCCTGCGCTGGCCAGTGTTTGCTAACTTGACACAAACCTAGATGGACCTGGGAAGAGGAACCACAAATGAGAAAACACCTCTATCAGACTGCCTGCAGGCAAATCTGTTGGGCGTTTTCTAATTAATGATTGGTGTCAGAGGGCCCAGGCCACTGTGGGTGGGGCCTTGCCTGGGCAGCTGGTCCTGGGATGTATAAGGATCAAACTGAGCAAGCCAGTAAGCAGGCGACGTGCCTCCACGGTATCTGCTTCAGTTCCTGCCTCCTGGTTCCCACCCTGAGGTCCCGCCTTGGCTTCTCCTCATAGTGGACGGCAACCTCTAAGCCAAATCAACCCTTTCCTCCCCAGGTCGCTTTTGGTAGGTGGTGTTTTGTTTTTACCGCAGCCATAGAAACCCTAACGAAGACAAACCCATTCCTTTCACCCCTTTGAGCCATAACCGAACCCTTTTCACACAACATCCTGTGAGTCATCCTGAAATAAAATTAGTAAAGTGAACTCACAAAACTTTAATATTACTCCCTGGTTTATTTCCTTGTCTTTAAGACCTCTTTGCTCTGGTGTCCTTGTCTGCTTTATAGTAATTACATGCATCATCATGTCATGTGCACTACGGAATACAGATGGCTGTGGACTCTCTGAGCAAGCTTCTTTACTTCTAAGAAGCGCCTAGTAAATCATGGGAGTTGTGGTAAAGATTAAAAGAGGTAAAACATGAAGGACCCAGTAGTATCTGATAGCAAAAGTGCTCAGTAAATACTCCTCTTCTCTCTCCACAGCCTGAAGAGATTCTGGCTCCACAGGTGACTCTTTTGTGTTTTGGGTTTTGAGACAGGTCTCACTGTGTAGCCCAGGCTGGCCTGGAATTCAATAGGTAATCTAGTTGGCCCTGAATTTGTGATCAACCATCTCCTGGGTGCTGAGGTTACAGATGTGCACCACCACTCTCCTGGGTGCTGAGGTTACAGATGTGCACCACCACTCTCCTGGGTGCTGAGGTTACAGATGTGCACCACCACTCTCTTGGGTGCCGAGGTTACAGATATGCACCACCACTCTCCTGGGTGCTGAGGTTACAGATGTGCACCACCACACCCAGGCTCTGACCGACTGGTGCAAATGCTTGACAGGAAGCAGAGGAAAGAAGGATCCCTTTCAGATTTTCTTTGGTGGGGTTCAGTTTCTTTGCGACCCTTATGGATGGGTGGACTTCAACCTAACACTTGTACTTTGTCTTACCCATGTTTCTTTTCATGATTAAGTAGGGGGAGGAAAAAAAAAAAAGAAGATAAACGAGACAGACTCAAAAGTTTAAACAAAGAGAATTCTGTGGTCCTTTCTGTAGCCCTCATACCAAGACCTGTTCTCTGTTGCATGTTCTCACGGGCATTTTGGTTCAAACTATGTCTTCCTGGCTCCAACCTAAGTTAGTGAAGAACCAAAATTATCTTCACAAAATGGGAATTATAAAAACTATTTACCCGAATAAGGCTTCTGACTGCCCCAAGGTCATTTCCTAATTTATAGGCAGTCAGCTAAGTGAGGCTGCTGTGAGCTTTTTTGACAGCTCAGTACCAGAAAGGGCATTATGTACGGGGATAACTACATTGATTGACTCAAAGGCATTAGAGCCCTCTCAAGCCGACCCTGACCCTGCATGCAGAGACGGTGAAGACAGGCACAGTCCAGAAGCTTAAAGTAGATAATCAAACCCTCTGAAATCTTCAGGCTAAAACCCTTCCCTTGAAGCAACCCAGGCAGGTGGGCAGGTGGTACCTGTTCTGTTCTCTATTCCTTCAGAGGGAATAATCACAAAATCAGCCTTTTCTTCTGACTGGGTTATAATGGATTCACTCTTTGCACTGTGGATTGGACTGGGTGAAGTCAGACTGTGATCAAACAAAAGAGAAGAGAAACAATTATGAACAGTTATAGAGAAGTCAACTTTCACAATTCACCCCAGAGCTATCTTATTCATACCATGCCTAATTCACATTAGCTCACAATTAGAACAAATGTTTGTTGAACAAATGAAATAAATGTGGAATGAATAAACGGTAAAAACCTAGTCCTAGGGAGTATTTTCATGTTACTTAAAGACTTTATTTTACATTTTAATTATGTGTATGTGCATATGGCCTTGGTGGTTGGGGGCAGTGTACAGGTGAATGCAGACACCCACAGAAACCAGGAGAGGATGCTGAGTTCTCTGGACCTGGAGTTACAGGCAGTTGTGAGCATTCTAGATGCTGGGAACTGAACTTGGCGCCTCTGAAGAGCAGGAAGCACTCTTTACTTTTGAGCCATCTCTCCGGCACCCCAGGGAGTCTCTTCTACAATCAGACTGCCTTTAAGGGGCTGGAGAGATGGCTCAGTGGTTAAGAGCACTGGCTGTTCTTCCAGAGGTCCTGAGTTCAACCCCCAGCAACCATATGGTGGCTCACAACTATCCATAATGAGATCTGGTGCCCCCTTCTGGCCTGCAGGCAGAACATTGTATACATAATAAATAAATAAATCTTAAAAAAAAAAAAAAAAAGACTTCCCTTTAAGCATAATTGATTGAAATGAGATTTACCAGAATAGGCAATATATTATTTATTTATTTATGGCTTTTTCGAGACAGGGTTTCTCTGTGTAGTTTTGGTGCCTGTCCTGGATCTCGCTCTGTAGACCAGGCTGGCCTTGAACTCACAGAGATCAGCCTGCCTCTGCCTCCTGAGTGCTGGTATTAAAGGTGTGCGCCACCACCTGGCTCAGTAAGTTATTTTTTAAAAACCTGTGGGTTTTTTTGTTGTTGTTTTTGTTTGTTTTGTGGTATCCACCACTACCGATTCCTAGGCCCATGTTCAGAGGGTCATGGTTGTGTGTCATTAGCTTTGATCAAAGCTGGATCAAAATCACATTTCCAATTATCTGAATCTTCCCAGGCAACCAGGGAGCAGCTCTAAGTTAATCCCCAAAGGGGAGTCTGGGCAGGAGACAGTTTCGGGGTAGAAACTGCTGGTGTGATTGCCGTGCCCGGCTGGGCAGAGGGGCAGAAATTTATCCCCAGGTGAGCCAGCAGACGGTAAGAAGAGTGGGGGCTGGAAAGGTGGCTTACTGGGTAAGAAAGATCACTTACTGCTTTTACAGAGGACCCAGGTGCAGTCTAGCACCAACTCAGTGGCTCACAACCATCTGCAACTCCAGTTCCATGGGATCTGACACCCCCTTCTGACCTCCACAGGCACCAGGCATGCATGTGGTGTACAGACATACAATGCAGACGAAACACTCGTACACATAAAATAAAAATAAGTCTTCAAAACAGTGAGAATAGGGATGGGGCAATCGGAGAAAACATGCTAGTTGCAGCTGGATCAAAGTTCACTTGATTAGCTCTTCCTGAAGATTTATTATTTTTATTATTATTATTTGCCATGGCTTCATATTTTCAAATTATATTAAGACACCTTTCAATAATCCCTGTGTTCTCATGTAGCTTTGAGAGGAACTGTTCAGATTTTCAGGGAAGCAGATTTTTCAATCTTCCCTTGGACAAGACAAGATGGGAACATGAGGGTAATGCTTCTGTCTACTAGGGAGAGTCTGGAGGGCCCTTTCTCTTGACGCTGCACTATGAGAACATCAGCACGAACACAATCTCAGGGCCTGTGGAGTCTGCGGCTCAGCCCCCTCCTAGGAATTCTTTCCAAATCTATCACCCAGACAACAGTGAAAGTGTCTAGGATTCACTGACCCCCTTAATGTGCCCCTGAAGTCTCCCAGGCTAATCCTTACAACCACAAGTAGGAGTTAACATTTCCTCTTCCCACAAACCAGAGGAAAACTAGAAACAAGTACAGTGGAAGCAGGCAGATTTCAAAAACTGCAGACTAGTGTCTCCCCAGCGTCCACAGCTGAAGAACTTTGGTGGGAACGGTCTCAATTAGTACTACATCTTCGTCTTTCTTCCAAGCTGCTTTTCTACATCTGGAGGTGTATAGATCAAGAGAAGTGAGGGGTAGCAAGTACTACTTAGAAACGTTGAGTGTTTCCTGGAACTCTCTCAGCTTTTTTTACTATGCAGGCAACCTGACCTTCAGGCCAATGTGAGTTCACAGCCGGGAAGGCTCTCATGTAAAGGGGCTGTGTCTCTGATAAGGAGAGATTTATGAATGCTCCGTCCCCAGCATTTACCTCTTACAAAATTGGGAATCCGGGTACACAAAGCCTTTGTCAGCCACCCCTCTTCCTCAGCTGACAAGGTGCTATGGATAACAAGTCCCACTGCCAGCATCTGGCTGGACCACAGGAGGGATGTGCCAGACAGAGCACAGGGAGGGTGTAATGGGGATCTGCGATGCTGGGAAAAGGCTTTCCTAAAAGCACAGACGCATGCTCAGTTCCATCTCTTCCCTCCAAGTAAGTTGCCTCCCATATAAGGGCAGAAGGAGGCGGACGTCTGGATATCCAACCCCACCGGGGGTGTGGCAGAGCAGGCAAAGGAAAACAACATTTCTTTTTCTTGAAAGAGGCTGCCAGGAGGTAAGACCAGGAAACTAGATGGCTAAGATAAAAAACCCGGAGGGAGTAAAATCCTGGGTTATGTGTCAGAACAGTAAGACCCTCCTAGAAGAGGAAGGCGTTTCAAATTCTCGGCCTCAGGTCAGAGAAAAGTGTCTTCATGCTAATTAATTGTAAGACTTGGGCTCCTCCCCAACTAGCTTAAAAGTCATACTTGACAAACAAATAATCCCTACTTATCATAATCCTCTCTGAGGTCAGAGAACTGCTGTTTACAAATAGGTCCTACCCATACATTTTTAATCTCATATTTCATCGATATTAATTTATCATATCAGCAAACCCCAACAAAGATACTGCCAAATTAGACACATCATTTAAAAAAAAAAATGGATAATAGACAAAAAGGAAGAGTCCCATCGCCCCTGGAGTCGGCTCCAAATTCCTAAAATCACTCTATTTTGTAATGCTAATCTCAGACCAGCAGCCTGTTCTCACCGAATAGCACACCCAATCATCTCTTGTCCCCAGCCAACCACGTCCCCCGGTCCTGGCCCTGCTTCCCCTTCATACCGGCACCTCAAGAGCCAAAGTGGCTTCAGCTCACCATTTGACTTGTGTCCCTCCCATGGTCCCCTCCTGGTTCCGGCTTCAGCAAGCCTGCTTCCCTGGGTGAGGTGGGAGGCTGAGAGTCATATCGCTCCTAAATTCTCGCAAGTCCCCCCGCGCGGGTCTCGAAGAACGACTCTAGAGATCAGCCAGCCAGTGGAACGATTCTCCCGGGTCTCCGGAGAAAGTAGGAAGGGCAGAGGTGGGTGTCCTGGCCCCGGGGACCGGGATGCTCCCTGGGGTGAAGAGCGCTGTCCCAGCAGCTCAGACTCCGCCGCAGCCAAGCCTCGGTGGAAGCCTCCTCCCATCGCCAGCGGCAGATCGCTGGCAGCTGCATCTCGGTCCCTGCGGCCGCACAGCTCCGAGCATTCCCCGGGGCAGCGGCATCTCAACCCATCTCCCTCGGGGCGAGAGGCTCCAGTGGCTCCCGCTAAGCTTCGAGTGGAGTCCGGCGTGCTGTGCTCCTGCTCAGCGCCGCCTTCTGATCCCTCCCTTCCCGTCCCCCTCTCCCCCTGCCACCCCCTCCCTCCCGCCTCTTCCCAGGCTGTCACACGCGGCCAGGCAGCGCCGGGCTTCGACCCAAGCGCCGCGGCTGCCTCTGGGCAGAGAGGTAGGGGTGCCGGCCGAGGCCGGGGCCAAGGGCGCGGTCCGGAACCGGCAGGGCCGACGGTGACCAGAGCCCAGGAGCGGCGGGGGGATGGGCAGCGCGGTGGCAGAACCGCGTGGTTCTGAGGATGGTCCTGGTGCCGGGGAGAGCAGCAGCGAAGATGCTGTTGCACCTCTTTGACCCCTCCCTCCTTGGACACGCGGGTCTGAGACTGATCTAATCCCGAGGAGCTCAACCCCGCTCTCCGCAGATTGGGAGATGTTGGCAGGATCGAGACTGGCGTACCCCCTCCCACTGTCCCCCTTCCCCCCAGCAAACCTGCAGAATGCCCTCCCGTCCCCTGCTCCCACTTTCCTTCCCCTCTACCGGTTCTGCTTAGGTACAGCGAGAGTCCGGCCTGTTTCCTGGAGCAACAGGAGGGTAGGGCTTTGCTAGGGCATCCTTGAAAAGCAGCTGGGGAGGCATCAGGGAAGACACCGTAGGATGTCTCTCCTATCATCACAGCTATACCCCACCCAAAGCTACAGCATCTCCAACATTCCTGGTTCTCCCAGGGGTTCCAGGGTCAATAGGTGCCCAAATAGAAGTGGGCAAATGGCAGAACCTGCTAGACGCCATCTCCTCTCCTGAGGGGTCAGTGAAGAAACAGGCAGAGTGCTGACTCTATCCCAAAGAACACGGCAAAATCAGGAGGCGGGGGTGGGGGAACAGAGAGGGAAATGTAATCTATGACACATCTCCTACTGCTGCCATTAGCCCAACATAACATGATATCTAGAGGGCCCCTCACACTGAGCTCACACTGCAGTCTGGGTCTTGCCTGGAGGAAGGAAGCAGCCACCCCGAGGAGACTCAGACTCTCTTCCCTTCTCTTTCTTATTCACAGGCACACTCAGGCTCAGGAGAGTCAAAGGCCAGCAGAGATGCTGGAAGCCAAGAGATCTCATTATACAACAGAACAGCCTTTGATTCTGTGCTGAGCCAAAGATAGTCCCAGCCACCAGCAAAAAAGCAAAGGTTTGGAGTCTCATTAAAAGCACACCTACTGCTTCACGGTCGAGTTTCTTTGAGGGTTGGTCAAAATGTCTCCTAACTGGATAGAGATGCCGTTTACACAAAACTGTTAAGGTACCACATTGAACACTTGGAAATGTTTAATGGTGAATTGTCTGTACTAGACCCATGCCAGAAACAGAAACTACACCCACTGCATTTAAACATTTTAAAGTTGAGCTAGGTTAGCAGTATATTCAGATGATGGAAAGGGGTCCACAAGACCTCCATAAATTAGAAAATGGTATGTCAAAATAGGTTGGGATTGTATGAGGAAAAGGAACAGGAGGAAGGAAAAAAAGATGGGAAATACACACAAGGCACAATTAAATTTAAAATAGATCAGAATATGCTGGGTTGGAGTGGGAGGGAAAAGATCATTAGAGGATACGCTCAATACAATTTAGCAACAAAATCAAGTTAGTAAGTAGGCTGGGGATGTGTTTATAGGGGCATAATCTCCGTGAGCCAGGAGAGTAATCTTTTTCTGCCACTATACTTGGCACTGGTCAGGCTTTTATTAGAGCAGAGTGTCCTGTTCTGGCCCCTGCACTTGGCTCTAAGGGAAGCAGACAGCCTCTTTACTAGAGTCACAAACACCCAGAGCCCACTTAGATGCATACTAATGTGCCCCAATTCACAGTCCTATAAATGAACGTGGAAACGCTAATGCGTCAGACAGTCCTGCACAGTTTCCTCTCTTGCCGGGAGCTTTCTCCAGCCTTCTGTGGCTGTAACTAAAGGATCAGACTCGGCCTGCAGGACAGGTCTGGGGCCTGGCTATCATAAACACCAGCAGCTTCTGCACTAACACTGAGCTGGACTGGACTCTGAAGGTCCCAGTCACACCCCCATGTGGACAGAGCTAACTACTGTTACTGGAATGCTCCAGTTTCTGTAGGTGGGAAATTCACTAGCACTGCATCCCACTCTTCTGTCAACACCAAACCCACAGACCGTGCTGAGCGCTAGTCCCTGAATGCCAAACACAAACTGAGGAAAGTAAAAAGAGGTTAGGTGCTTTTTGTTTTTCAATATTAGGGGTTGAACCCAGGGCCTCTGGCAAGACAAGCACTCTAGCAATAAGCTACACACACCCCAACTGTGGGAAGCTGAAGAAGCTGTGAGTGAATATGTAAAGAGTACATAAAGACCTGAGTGAATATGTACTACTAATATGGGCACTGTCATGTTAAGGACCAATGCCTCAGACCCATGGGAAATTGGCAAAGCCTTCCTCAGACTGGTCAGGCTCAGAATTGGTAAAGGCTTCCTCTGGCAAATGTTGACAGTGTGCAAGTATGAGTGTTTACAAATGATTAACCAGCGTGTGCAAAAACTAGCAGCTCCTGGATGTTGGATGATTATAGCCTTAGACTGTTCACTTAGAGACCTACCAAGACTAGCTAACTCCTCCCCTCTGTGAGGTACCTAACAAATACACTGAGGTTCGCACATCCCACCTGATCCCAACTTTCTGGTGTCTGTGAGTCATTTCTTTAGTGTCTGTCCTTTCTTGACCCCCTTGCTACCCTAGTCAGGTTTCCAGACCCAAGCCTAGCAGGATATGGGACTCAACCCCATGGGTGCCTTAGTGCTTTTGGTCTTGCTACTTGAGGCTAAGAATCCCCAAGAGTTCAGCTCTTTACCACGGAATGTAAGAATGTCAAGAATGTAAGGCCACAATTACCTGGAGCAGCTAGACTCAGATGGAGACCGCTGTTGCCCTTCGTATTGCTGCACAAGTGCCCGAACACTCCAGTATGGATTCTCAATCTCCTCATCCATGCTGCTGTTCCTAAAAGGGGGCGTGGGGCACCAGAAAAGAAGACAGTGTTAGCCCTGCAGTTCAGGTCAGCTCTACAAGTAGAGATACCCTGACATGCAGTGTGCACTACAGGAAAGCAGATGTGTGTGCCTGCCACACACCTGTCATTCCAGTACTCTGGAGGATCAGAAGTTTGAGACCAGCTTGGGCTACATAGATAGCAAGATCCTGTACACACACACACACACACACACACACACACACACACACACACACATTCACGCACTTAGAAGGTGAACAAGGTAAAACTCCTTCTTCTAAGGCACTTAAAACCTAGCCAGGAAGGCAAACACAAAAACAAGTGATTTTGCCGATCTCTGCGACACCTTGGGGTCATGTTCTCCTTTAGCAACTACACAGCCCTCAAAACACTTCCTGCCATGAAATTTCAAGACAGATTGGCCTTGTGGATACATTCCAGGATCCAGCCTCCTCCAGATGGACTACATATCTCCCAGTGAAGAAAACACACTGTGCCAACCACATATATTTAAATTTTGGGCATGAGAGCAAACTTACACACATGGATCCTTACATTCTGCTAGCTGGAAAATAAACATCTCGAAAGAAAAGGCTTAGTTAGCCTGGCTTGCAGCTGTGGGCCTATAATCCCAGCTATTTGGAAAGCTGAGACAGCAGGAAGATAAGTTCATGGCCTGTCTGAACTACAGAGTGAGTTCAAGGCCAGCCTGGGCAACTTCATGAGACCCTGTCTCAAAATCAGACGTAAGAAGCCTGGGGGTATAGCACAGTAGTAGTAGAGCTCTTGCTTGGCATGCATAAGGCTCTAGGTTCACTAGCCAGTATCATAAAAAAAAAAAAAAAAAAAAAAAAGGCCAAGCTTTTCTCATGAGGATTTCCCTCCCAAACCTCTACTCTATTCTGTTATCTTTTCTGCAGTGTGGAGCTGTTTGGTAGATATTTCCATCTACTTGCACTGTTATTATCTAAGCAGAGAAATGCCAGTTCCCCTCCCCAGATTTTTACCTCTGTCTATACCGGAAGACATCCCGTCCTGACCGAGACATGTCATGGCACACATCAGCCAGAGCAGCAGCTGCTCCTTGGGCCACAGCAGTAGCACAGTGCGGTTGATGAGTCTGAACAGGGGCTCTGGAGTCACGCCCCTGGCTCACTGTCCTGCTAGAGCCGGGTTTAAAATGAGCTGCCAAGGCAAGGACCAGCCTCATGATGGACTTCAGGTTTCCTTCCACAATATCTAAAGGACAAGACAGATTGAAAGGTGCTAAGAGGGAGGAAGAGGCTATGGATTGATGCATTTACTGTATAATGCTGGTGATATAGTAAGCCGGGCAGGCAGTCTCCATTTTCATAAAGCCCTGTTCAGTAAGGGACACACAAAGCTTAAAGGCAATTACAGTAAAGTATGATAATAAAATGGTTAGATAAGAGAGGTACAGGAGTCTTCAGCAGTTTGTGGAGAGATAATCTTAGAGTTCTTAAGGATGTATTACTAGAGGAAGTGAGTCCTCAGTTGAGACTAGGGGGTGATGCTTCTTTAGCTAATAGGGGAAAAGGGATAAGAACAATCCAGGAAAAGGTACGTGCCAAGGTCTAGAGATCAGTATAATAGGGCGATATTGTCTGTTAGGAGAGCTGCAGGCCACATGTGGCTACTAAGCACTTAAATGTCACTACTCTGAATTGCAATATGCTCTAAGCAAGTACTGTAACTAAGTGTTAAGTAAATACCTTACACACACACAGGAATGCAAAAGATCTCAGACAGTATAAACATAGAATGTGGGGCTGGAGAGATGGCTCAGTGCTTACGAGCACCAGGTACTCTTCCAGAGGACCCAGGTTCGATTCCCAGCTCCCACATGGCAGCTCACAACCATCTGTAACTCTAGTTCCAGGGGACCTGATGACCTCTTCTGGCCTCTGAGAGCACCACGCACACACATGGTGCATAGATATATATGTGCAGGCAATATGCCTATACACATAAAAAATAAAAGTAAAATATAAACTATCTCAGTAATGTTTAATATTAACTTCATGGTAAAGTGATCATATTATGGACATACTGGGTTACATAAAATATATTATTAAAACCATTTTCGGTCCTTCCTGCTTATAATGTGGCTTTAGGAAACTTTTAAGTACTTATAGGACATGCATTATATGCATGGTCCAGCACTGCGGTGGAGAAAGTGAAAGAGTTCAGTATGACCAGAGCCCTAGAGCTCGGCAGGAGAAGGGAAACCAGGTGGGGAATCAGAGGTTGGGCCGTAGGGGACCAAGTAGGCTATAGGAAAGATGCCAGGTTTGTCCACGTGACCTCAGGGGGCACAGCACGAGCACGATGTGTGCTCTTCGTTCATTCTAGCTGTGGTGTGGAAAGCTGAACGGAGAGGGAGATAGATGCAGTAGGACTAATTAGGAAGCACTGGGCTTCTTTAGGTAAAAGACAATGAATGGCAGTGTTCCCTTAAATAGTCTGTTTTACTGGGCCAGATCCCCAAGCCCACTCCACATGGGGACCAGACCAAAGCTATCACTGCACTCTAAATTCTGCCCTAGAAAAAAAGAGCAAAGAAGACACACACACACACACACACACACACACACACACACACACACACACACACAGAGGAGGGAACCGCACTGTGAAAGATCTGGTTAAAGTTAATGCAAGCAAATGGATACAATTCCATTGTTTGGCTTTATAGCCTTTCAAATGCACAAAGCATGCAGAGGACTATTTGAAGTCTTCTACCAAATGCTCTTAATGGTCACTATTTGCTCACCTGAGTAACTTCAAACACACAGAACACCAATAACCTAACATGAAAGGGTTCCCCCCGCCCTCCTTCTCAGCAAAACTGCAGGCAACAGACCCAAAAGCTGATGCTGAAACAACCAGTTCTAGTCAATTCTAGAAAAGCATCAAAAGGAGAAAGAAACCTATGCTTTCGAAGGACCCCTACGTGGCTCCTTCCTTACAGCACGGGCAAAAGGTTATGCCACTACAGAAGACTACATATAAAAGCCATAGAGCCCCTTTTGTCTGCCTGGAATGTTCTCACAGCCAAAAAAAGAAAAGCTATAAAATATTTCCCTTTTAAGCTGAGTGTGGTACACATCTCTAATCCCATAATTTAAGATACAGAGGCAGGAGAAACACCTAATTTGAGGAAAGCCTAGGACATAGCAAATTCCAGGCCAGCCTGGGCTACACAGTGAGACCCTGTCTCAAAACCACATATACTGAGGATGGGCAGTATTAGAGATGTGTCTCAGTTGACAGCGCTTGCCTGCATTCACAAAGCCCTGGGGTCAGTCCCCAACACCACATAAAGCTGGGTGGTGGTACAGTTTTGTAATCTGAGCACTGAGGAGGTAGAAGCTAGAGGATCAGAAGTTCAAGGTCATCCTTGGCTACATAGCAGTTTCAAGATCAGCCTAGGCTACATAAGATCCTGTCTCAGAAAATAAAGGAAAGGAAGAAAAGAAAGAAAAATAGAAGAAGTGAGAGAGTTTCTTCTAGGAAATTGAATGGAAAAGCGTAAGTTATGATGGTTTGTAATAGTACTCGATCATAAAACTCAAAGATCTCAAAAAAAACGCAATCCATCTTCATCCTTGAAAATTTAAATGAGACATTCCAAAATTAATATCTCAATTTTGTCATTTATTCTTGTACCATTAATTTTCCCCCACACACTCAAGCCTATCTATATTCAATTCAAATTAATAGAGAGCTGCTGCCTCCAGCCAGGTCTCTGGAGCCCTGGAGTCTCAGCACCTGATCACTGTCTTCCAAGAGGGCACCTGTCTTCATTCAACAAGGATCTAAGACCATGAGCCTAATCCTATTCCAGTCTGCTCAGAACAGTTGGCCACATGGCCAAGGGAGCTTCTCAAACCGGTTAGCACTGGCAAAAGCTAAGTGTTCTTTCCCCGAGGAGGAGGCGCTGGCTCACCTTTGGCTGACGTCTGATGCATACGAATCTTTTTGGAAGCTACAAACTGCAGCACTTTTTCCACATTATCCTTCATTTCTTGTTGGTTACTGGGACTCAACTGTACTCCACTCAGTTTTTCTCCTGCTGTTAGGAGAGGGGGGAAGAAAAAACACGTAACGTGGTAAGTAAGAACATTATCGAGGTTTCTTAGCAGCCAGGCACAAGGGAGGGGTACAAACACTAAAATTCTCTACAAATAAATGAGTAAGTTAAGTCCTGGTGTATGCACCAGGGGAAGTGGTTGTAGGAGAGAAACATGAGAAACTTTCAGAACACTTCAGTATTTCAAATGTAAACTCACAGTCCTGTAAAGTTATATTGTGTGCATATTTATTAATTCAACAAATATTCATGAGTAGCCACTGTATGCCAAACGCTGTTCTGGTTACTACAGAGAACAGGGAACAAGGTAAAAAAACGTGCCTTCTCTCCTAGTTTATATCTATAGTATAACAAGCCAATGTTTAATATAATTTTGGGTAAGGATAAAGACAGAAAAGAATACTGATCACGGCCTTTCTGATAATATAGTCTTGAAAAGTCGGAATAAGAAATGTTTATATTTAAGAAGCTGTGGTGGTTTGAAAGAAAATGGCCCCCAAAGGGAGTGGCACTATTAGGAGGTATGGCCTTGTTGGAGTAGGTGTGGTCTTGTTGGAGGAAGTGTGTCACTGTGGAGGTGGGCTTTGAGGTCCCATATATGCTCAAGCCACACCTAGGTTCTCAGACCACTTCCTGTGAGTCGGGATGTAGAACTCTCAGCTCCTTCTCCAGCACCATGTCTGCCTGCACGCTGCCTCGCTCTCTGCCATGATGATAATGGACTAAACCTCTGAACTGTGAGTCATCACAATGAAATGCTTTCCTTTTAAAGAGTTGCCATGGTCATAGCCACTCTTCACAGCAATAGAAACCCTAACTAAGACACAGGGTACATGCCAGGCTGAAGAGCCATACAAACAAACCCCAATATGGGATTAACTCAGCCTGAGGGGCAAAAAGATCAGTGTGGCTAACTAGGCATGCAGTACATGCCAATGACCTCAGCAGCTGGGAGGCTGAGGCAGGAAGATCAGAAAACAAATCAGGTTAATTGAAGTTAGTCATGGCTACATAGCAAGTTGTGGGCCAGCCTAGGCTACATGAGACCCTGTTTCAAATGAAAAAGAAAAGACCAGTGTGGCTAGAGTGGAGTTATCAGTCAAGACCTAGGAAAGGCTGCCAAGATAAGCAAAGGCAGTCAAATGGGGCTTTGGGGTATTGGCTTATCTGGTATGTGTTTTCCATAGTTGACTGTGTGTATGTATAGATCATGCGGGAGATGAAACTGAGAGATTAGTCAGAAAGATAGCCAAAATATTCAAGGCAAGAGATAAGGATGGTAAGGGTTAAAGTGGAAGAGAATGGCTGGCCAGAAGTCAGACACTGAGTATATTCTGAATACAAAGCAGAAGGTACATGTTAAGAACTGGCTGTGATTCAGGAGGGGAGGAAAATACTTCGGAATGACTTCTAAGAGTTCTGCTTCACAACTGAGAGAATGACATGAAGTGTTCCTCGACAAAGATGCAAGGTGAGGATGGGCAGGGAGGGTAAAAGGCTTGGTATGGGAAGGAAATACAAAGTTCTGGTTAGCTGCATGTAAGATATTCAAACGACAATGATGAACAGGACACTGTGTATGCATGTCTCCAACTCAAGGAAAGGCTGAAGGCTAAATATGCAAAATTAGAGAGAGATCATCAGGTTTTCTCTCTTTTGTTATGTGTGTCTGAGTGTATAGGAGGTATGCGGTGTGCGCACACATGGGTGTGCGTGGCTGCACGGATGGAAGAAGCTGGTCTCTTGGTCTGTCACTATATACTTTATTCCCTTGAAACGGGTTTTTGTTTTTGTTTTCCTGAACTTGGAGCTAAGGTGGCAGTCAGCAAACCCCAGTGATGCTCCTGTCTCCAACCCCCACAGCACTGGAGTTATAGGTGCACTTGTGACCATCTATGGCTTTTTAAACACGGGTACTGGGGATTCAAACACATGAAGCATCACTGAACCATCTCCTCAGCCCCCTTGAGGTTATTTCAGGCTGGGGATATACCTTAATAGTAGAGTGCTAGCTACTACATGCTAGCATGCTCAAGGCCAAGTTCAAGTTCCAGAAACATGCGTGCACATGCATGCGCACATGCGCACACAAATAGTATTTAAAACCTGGATCTTGGGAAATAAAAGCACATTAATATTGACTTCCAGGCTTATAGAACATCTCTGGAAACAACAGGCTGCCTCCAGAATGGAGGGTGGGTAACTGTGATGGCTAACACTTACTATCAACTTTACGGGATATAGACTCACCTAGGAGACAAGTCTCTCTGTTGACTATTTACAGTTGGGCTAGCCTCTCTGCCCACGTCTGTGACAGGGTGTTTTAATTAAGTTAACTGGGGTGGGAAGAACCCCTAAGAACGGGTGGCGCCGTTCCCTGGGCTGAAGGAGAAAGTGAGCCGAGCACCAGTGTTCACTGCTCTCTCCTCTGGCTGTGGCTGCACCTTGACTGGCTGCCCCAAACACAAGCACTCTTTCAAAAGCCCCATTGTGGACTTTTCAAACCGTGAGGCGAAACAAGCCCTTCCTTCTTTCCGTTGCTTTGTGTCACAGAAAAACCCAAGTGCTGACAGAGCTTCCGCTGAAGAAAGACAGGTAGAAGAAGAGTTTTGTTTCTAACCCTTTTGTGCCTAGGTTTCCTGTGAGTCCACACGTAACCTTTTTAAATAAGGGGAAAAGAAAATGCTTAAAATAGATTTGGGGATTTATTTTATTTTTAGTGTGTGTGTGTGTGTGTGTGTGTGTGTGTGTGTGTGTGTGTGTGTGCGTGTGTGTGTGTGTACATACAAGTGCAGATGACCTAGGGGTCCTGAAGAGGGATGACCTGGAGCTGGAATTACAGAAGACTGTGAGCCATTCTACTTGGATGGTGGGAACCAAACTCAGGTCCTCTGCAAAAGCAGTGTATACACTCTTAACAGCTGAGTCATTTCTCTAGCCAGGATTTTGGAATTAAAACAGAGCTAGGTTTGCACCTTTACCTGAATACTTAAATTTATATGAACTTGTGAGGTTGCTGAGCCTTGTCAACCTCATCAGTAAAATAATACAGGTTTATCACCCATAATCTAAAACTCTGAACTTACACATGCTCCAAAATCTGAAACTATATATATATATATATATGTATATGGGTGTGTAAGTATGTCTATAGTATGTCTATGCACTGTGTGCATGTCTGGTACCCAGGGAGGCCAGAAGAGGGCATCAGATTCCCTGGACACTGGAGTTATAGATGGTTGAGTCACCATGTTGAGTTCCAGAGGACCATAGGACTCAAACCCAGGTCCTCTGGAAGAGCAGCCAGTGACCCTAACTGCTGAGCCATCTCTCCAGTCCAAAAACCTGAAATGTTTTAAACATCATACTAGTGCCCCAAAAATGTATGATTTGGGGACATTTTCAGACTTTGGATTTTCCATAATTTTTAGCTATAAGTGCTTCTCTTCCTCTCTCTCTCTCTCTCTCTCTCTCTCTCTCTCTCTCTCTCTCTCTCTCTCTCATTTGAAGCATTTTTGGTCCCAAGCATTTTGGATGAGGGGTACTCCACCTGGACTCAAACCCACATCACAAAGAAATCAAAAGAACAGACTGGCTATCTTTTTGACACATACTAAGCATCCATTAATTAGTTTATTTTTATAGATCTTCCCTTTTGCTTCCTGGAAACAGAAATACCCTGTTTCCCTAGGGTGTGGTGGTCAAATAAACTCACAAAAGACAGAAAGCATTCCATCCTGACAGCGGCAATTACTGCTGCCCCTGTTACACTCAGTACAAATGAATAGTCACTCATGAGCTGTCTCAAAAAAAAAAAAACCCAAAAAACAAAACCAGATAGGCTGCCTGTTGCAAACCAGCTTCTTCCACACCACATACCTCCAGGACAGCAAGCAACATCAACTGACCAGTAATACATGTTCAAGAATTTATTCCATGCATTTGGCTGGGGCTGTGGAACCATAAAAACAAAGTATAGTGTATCACTCTCTTCAATAGTTCAGTCTATACCATGACTAATTGCCAGTCAGCGAGAGAAATCATAGAAGAGCTATGGACAAACACTCTGGGAATATAGGACCCTAATAAGAACAGGACCCAGAATTAAAGAGGAAAACCCTTCTGTGGAAACACACGGCTCTGAGTGTCATAGAAGAAAGTCCTTTTGCTAGTGACATTTTCTCTTTTGGCCTGAATGCTACTCCTTTTTCTGTTTCTCTCTCTCTTTCTGTTTCTCTCTCTCTTTCTGTTTCTCTCTCTCTCTCTCTCTCTCTCTCTCTCTCTCTCTCTCTCTCTCTCTCTCTCTGTGTGTGTGTGTGTGTGTGTGTGTGTGTGTGTGTGTGTATGAGTGTTTTGTCTGCATGTATATTTATTTGTGCAGAAAAAAATGTTGGTTCCCCTGGCACTGGAATTATAGATGGTTGTGAGCTATGGGTGCTGGAAGCTGAATCAGGTCCTCTGTAAGAACAGCCTGTACGCTCAACTGCTGAGCCAACCCTCCAGCCCTCCCACTTGCGTTTTTACCCTCCTTCCCTAGTTAGACATGGATTCTTCTGGTCTGCCATTCCGGAACCCCTAGGACTAAGGCAGGATGTCTCTTCTATGTATCCTCCTCTGTGCTTACTCCATCAGAACACTAAGTACAGTAATACAATGGACCTCACTTTCCAGTCCTTCCAATTAGACCGGGAACCTCTGAGGGCACAGACAGGGCTACCATCTCCCCATATAACAGAGTGCCTAGCATGTGGTGTTTATTGACCAGTATGTGAATTAACCTTGGGCAAGGACTTTAGGTCTTCCCAACTCCATCGCCATGTATTCTAAAGAAGGAACAACCTGCTTTGAAGGGTACATGGAGGAGAAAGAAGTCATGTTCTCGTCTACACTAGCGTTAGAGTCCAAGGCCGACTGACCAACAATCTCGATGAGATAGGCCAGGATCACTCCATCTCGGAGATCCTGTCGCAGGTCCTGCACAGGCTTCACGGATGGCCTCTTCTTCAGCTGGGCATTCACCCAGGCCACATAGGCCTGTAGCTGTTGCTGGAAAATAAAAGGTGGAGATAAGGGAAAGATGGCATATCAGTCTTACCCCCATCCTGTCCCTGTAAGGCAGCATGAGAGGGTGAGGCAGAGTGGGAGAGAAAGGGTTTAAGACATCATGATCAGGCCCGGAGCATGTTCCCAAATCTCTAGCTTTAGGCTAACACCTAGGGATAAGATAACCTCTGACTAATTCAGTGCTGCAGACAGACAGAGAGACTAATGCTTCCAGGTTGTGACTCCCACTTTCCATGCTCTGTTGATAGGGATCAAGGCTGAGTCCAGGATGCCAGCCAGTATTCAGGTACAGTCACTGCTGCCAGCAACCCACCATGCTTTGCAATCACAGCTCCTCGTGTACTTTACGCACAATGGACCATGACACTCCTATTAACTGATCTTGTAGAATCAGACATGAACCAGGACCCAAGCACAGCGCCGCCTCCCACAGCTGCTTTCCCCAGAATGAGATGTGGGTGCGGTCATCTCACACTTAACGGAAGATTTACCCTCCTGAGCCCATAATCCTAGGATTGCTACAGAGTTAGTTTTAATCTGTGTCTTATATTGTCAAAGAGGATCTGGTTACATTAAGACTGATGCAGAGAAGGAAAAGAAAACCATAAAGTGGACGGTAAGTCTGAGGACTGAGAAGCATTTTCCTTTACTTCATATGAAATTGGGGCCCTGTACTACCAGGAACCTATGAGGCTTCAAGGTTGAGGCATTTAAGGAACTCATTCCAACCCATACACAACCCTGCACATTCCATTTTCCATTTTCCAGAATGTGTATTCTGATGTTTATTGCTACCACTTAGTCAGAAGATAGACCTTGATATTTCAAGAACATACAAACAATATCACAGTCCGGGTGGCAGATGTTTTGTTCCTGTAACAGCCCAAGATCCTGAACCTAAAAATTAAGTTTAAGGGCTAATTATATTAAATTATAATTTGGTTAAAGTACAGTTGATTTCTAAGTCTCAAGCACTTCCTTGGTGAAAGATGCTGGAAATTATTTACGGGCTGCTTTCCTGGGCTCAAATGACATCTTCATTAGTTTCTCTGCTGATTTTTGGAAATCGCCATTGGAAGACAGTGCTGAATGGATAATCCATCGGCTACTTGAACTATAGGACCTGCAAAGGCCAGCAGGAACTGGTAGGAGGAAGCTGACATTTACTGAGAGCCTGCCACAAGCAAAACACCATTTCTGATGCTTTGCTTTGTTTTTGTGGTACTAGGGATTGAACCTAAGGACTGGTGTATGTTAGTAAGTGATCCACCCTTGAGCAATAGCTCCAGTCCTATTTATGCTTTTCTATTTTAATTACTAATTCTGGTGTTCTGGTTTAAAGACTCGACGAATGTATCTGGCACAGGGCCTGACACAAAGTGGATGCTCACCAAAGGGTTGCTTGTTTGTACATTTTATTTATTGTGTGTGTGTGCTTGGGCACGTGCTTGTGCACATTACGGGGTAAGTGTGGTGGTCAGGAGATAGCCAGTGAGGGTCGGTTCTCTCCTTCCACCTTGTGGGTCTTGGGGACTGACTTAGGATGCCAAGCTTGGCAGCAAGCAGGTTTGCCCACTGAGCCATCTTGCCAATCCTGGTCATTATTATTGTACCCAACATAATCTAATTTGATTCTCAAATATATGTATTATATACTAATATATACTATATTATATCTAACATATTAAAATACTATATATAAACACATATAAAATATATGCACATATATATTATATCATATATAAACAAAAGCCAAAACAACCATTGTCTTAGTTAGTGTTTCTATTGCTGTGAAAAGACACCATGACCACGGCAACTCTTACAAAGAAAAACATTTAATTGAGTGGCTTTCAAAGGTTTAGTCCATTATTATCAATGGCAGGACATGGTAGCATGCAGGCAGACATGGTGGTGGAGAAGGAGCTACATCTTGATCCCACAGGCAACAGGAAGTTGTCTGAAACACTGGGTGTGGTTTGAGCATATACGAGACCTCAAAGCCCACCTCCACAGTGACACACTTCCTCCAACAAGGCCACACCTCCTAATAGTGCCACTTCCTATGAGCTTATGGCAGCCAATTACATCCAGACCACCACAACCATAAAGCCAGTATTATTTCCATTTTACGGATAAAGTTTGGAGAAGTGACATGACTTCCCCAATGTCCCCAGAACTAGGACACAGCATGTCCAGTTCTGCAGTCCAGTAAACACTGCCTATGCATTTACAAAGGCCCCTTGCCATTCCAACTCACTGCAGAACAATAACATGAGTCAGACACCCATCCCCAGAAAGCAGCGGATACATAATGTCCCAAGACACGACCTGAGGCAGCCAGGCAAAGGGCACCTCTGGAGTGAGTGCTCTGGTTCAAGGGAACAAGAGCAGAAAGGGCATTAAGAGTAACACTGAGGCCGGGCAGTGGTGGCGCACGCCTTTAATCCCAGCACTCGGGAGGCAGAGCCAGGCGGATCTCTGTGAGTTCGAGGCCAGCCTGGGCTACCAAGTGAGTTCCAGGAAAAGGCGCAAAGCTACACAGAGAAACCCTGTCTCGAAAAACCAAAAAAAAAAAAAAAAAAAAAGAGTAACACTGAGGTAGTAAAACTCCTAATGGGGGAGGTGACACACACCTGCAATACCAGCGTTTGAGGCTAGCCTGGGCTACATGGGCTCCTGTCTCAAAACAAAACACATAAAACTCCTAATCATTTTCCCTGTATCTTTCTCATTTAATTTTTTTTGAGACAATAATGTCTCACGATGCAGTCCTGGCTGGAGTGGAGCTCGTTGTGTGGACCAGACTAACCTAGACCTTTCAGAGATCCTCCTGTCTCTACCTCCCAAGTGCTGGAATTACACCTGACTCAGCTTGCCTATATATGATATCAGCCACCTTAATTCACCCTCTAAGCATTCCTGCTTGAAGTTCTTCATTGGCCTCCCATTATCCGTAAGACGAATCCCATCTTCTTAGCTGCCCTGCGGTAGGCCTGGCCTGTTCTGCCTTTCCCGGTGCTTTGGCTGTGTGATGGGAGTAGACCTTGGGGCATCTGTGGTGATTTGTGGGATCTTCCCATCCTCCTCCATGTCCCTGTCATGCCTCATTCTGTCCAGACCACACACATTTCCCCAAATGCACCACGCTTTCTCACCACTGCACCCCCTCGGCCTGCCGATGCTTTCTAAATTCTCAACTCAAGTGTTACTTTTTCAAGAAAACCTCCCTGATCCTCTCACATCCCTCAGACTCTGTGAGGACTCTGTGCGTCATTCAATAGGCTCACCAATCATTTGAGTGCAACCCATGGGACTCCAAAGATCTTGTACCTTCACTCAGGAGGGCTAGGGAGCCAGCTCCGTGCCCTACTGCTAGTGCAAACACAAGTCTGAGGACCTGAGTGTGGATCCTGAACACCCACATAAAAAGCTGGGCACAGTGGGCGGTGCACACCTGTAACACTGGCACTGGTATGGACACAGGCAACAGGCAAACCATAGGAGCTCACTGGCCAGACAGTCTACCCAAACTCCGGGTTCAGTGGGAGAGCTTGTCTCAAAAAATAACACAGAGTGATGGAGGAAGGCATCCCAACATCAACCTCTGGACCTACACATCACACACACACACCACATACACACTACACAAACACAATACACACGCACACCACACATATCACACACACAACACACAAACACAATACACACACACCACACACACCCAATACACACACCACACACACCACACAAACACAATACACACACCACACACACCCAATACACACACCACACAAACACAATACACACACACCACACACACAAAAACAATACACACACCACACACACACACACACACCACACACACACCACATACACACACACACCACACATACACCACACACATACACACACACCACACACCACATACACACACCACACACACACCACACACATACCACACACACACACACACCACACACACACACACACACACACCACATACACACACACACACACACACACACACACACATACCACATACATACACACACCACACACATACCACACACACACACACACACACACACACACACACACACACACACACACACATCTCACACAAACTTGCTTGCTGGCAGAGGCAAGCGCTCCAAGGGGATGGACAGAGTGCTGAGATGGCATTAGACATTGGCCCAGCATGACGTCCAACAGGTTAAGGAGCAGAGGAGGCAAAGAGGTCAGTGAACTCCAAACACCTGAGGTGTGAAATAAGATCTCCGCAGGGAGTCACTACAGTTCAGAACACTGTACCTCTTAGGAGAACAGGTGCTCAACAAATATTTGCTTCCATGACAGAATCACTTGTCACATTTCATCAGGCCTACACCTAAGTTACTGTAGAAGTTCATTGTGCAGGGACATAATTTTTCAGTAGGTCAATATAATTTCTTCTTAAGTAACCATAGCCTTGCCTGGCTGCAAAGAAGCAAACTGTCTAGGATGCAAAACTGACCACTGGTCCTCTCTATCTGATGCATGGCAAGACCACAGAGAGGCTGCTGCTGTGGGAGGGTCTGTATGTCAAATTGCTCTGATTGGTCAATAAATAAAACCCTGATTGGCCAGTGGCCAGGCAGGAAGTAGGTAGGACAAGGAGCGAGGGAAGTGGAAGGCTGAGTGAGGGAGACACTGCCAGCCACCACCATGACAAGCAGCATGTGAAGACGCCAGTAAGCCACAAGCCATGTGGCAAGGTATAGATTTATAGAAATGGATTAATTTAAGATGTAAGAACTAGATAGCTAGAAGCCTGAGCCATTAGGCCAAACAGTTTAAGCAATATAAGTCTCTGTGTTTACTTGGTTGGGTCTGAGCGGCTGTGGGACTGGCGGGTGACAGAGATTCGTCCTGACTGTGGGCCAGGCAGGAAAACTCTAGCTACAGGCTGCTAACTACTTCTCATGCACATCAATCAGTCCCTG